TGGTGGAATAACTGAGCCCGACATTGGGCATGGAGATGAAGAATTGAAGGGCTCGCTGAAGATCTGAGAGATTCTCAGCCGTTGGTTTGCGTGAGTACTGAGCCAACTGGCTCGCAATGTAGGAGAGGTCGGGCCTGTAGGTAACATATGCGAAAAGCAGGCATCCCAACTGCTGCTGGTAAGTGTGAAGCCCAGCAGAGGACAGGGCTTTGTTGTCAAGCTTGTGGTTGGGTCCTGGAGCGCGGTAAGGGGTGGAGAGTGGTGCAGGCGCAATGTTGAAGCGCTTGCTAAGCTCCTCCGCATACTTCGTTGCTGAGAGATGAATGGCTTCCGACGAGTGGGTGATCTTGAGTCCTAAGAAACTGCTTCACGTCATGATTGCAGGTGATGTCGACGCGCCCTGCGAGGCTTCTCTCAAATTGCTTGAGCAGTTCGTTGCTTGAGCCTGTGTAGAGAAGGTCGTCAATGTAGACCGTGAGGAGGATGTATTCGCCACGGAAATCGCGGCGATACATTCCAGGATCGTGAGGCAGCTGCTTGAACCCGATTTCAAGCAGTATGTTGTGCAGGTACTGCTGCCAGAGTCTCGGTGCCTGTTTGATCCCATAGAGGGACTTGCGTAGCTGACAGACGCATGGGTCTCCGTCGCCGTAAGTGTGTGGCTGTTCCACGTAGATTACGGCGTCCACTAATGCGTACAGGAACGCATTCTTCACATCGATCTGCCGGAGTGGTAGGTGTCGTGCGGCTGCGATAGCGAGGAGAATTCTGACGGACGTGTGATGGCTGACTGGTGCAAATGTATGGTCAAAATCAATCCCGTGCCTTTGATCGTAGCCGCGCACCACCCAGAGTGCCTTGAATCGCTCAATCCTTCCATCGGCTCCTGTCTTCACTCGGAAGACCCATTTGCCGGAGAGAATCCTTCTGCCCTTTACTGCTCCACGGTCGACGAGCACCCAGGTGTCGCGCGACTCAAGTGCCCGGATTTCCGCATCCATTGCTTCGCGCCACTCTTTGCTGTGTGGGCCTGTGAGGGCTTGTCGTGGGTTCTTAGGTTCGATGATGCGCGGATCAGTGGAGATGGCAGTGTGTAGTCCAAGTAGCTGGAGACCGGTGACAGTGCTGTCGTGGCGATGTTGAGTGACGACTTCCTGCACGTCGTCATCATCGCTTTCTGGTTCAGGCGGTGCTGGCGGTGCTGTGTCTCCGCCGCTCCTGCTTCCTCCTACTGCACCTCCTTCTGTTGCGCCTGTTCCTCCTTCACCTGAATTATCGTCGTCGTCGTCGCGGCGATCGCCCCTTGTGAACTCGCCTCTGGGATCCTGCTCCAGAATTGCTGCTGTTGCTTCGTCCTCAGATGAGGCGTAGCTGTGGCCCTCGTTGGCGTAGATGCGGTTTGCATTCGTCTGCTTGTCGTCACGAAATTGTTGCAGAAACAGTCGCTTGTAGAAGATGACATCGCGCGCATTCTTGATTTTCTGGCTTAGGAGATCCAGGATGATCCACGCCTTGTGTTCGTGGCTGATACCGAGATGGATTCCCCAGCGCGCGCGGCTTTTGAACTTCCCGATGGTTGATGTTGGCGGTCGGTATTGAACCATGCAGCCCCAGACGTGGAGCATGGATGTGTCCCCCTTTCTTCCCGTCCATTTCACGTACGGCGAGGAGTTGCCGGTGATTGCGGTGGTTGACAGCAGGTTGTGCACCCGCACGGTGTGGTGCATCGCGTAGGTCTAGTAGATCGGCAGGAGCTTTGCCTGCCGCATTAGCGCCCGTACCTTCGTCATGAGGGTGCGATTCGAGCGCTCCGCTACGCCCTGCTGCTGGTGCGCGTAGGGGAGGGAGATGTGATGTTCGATCCCCTTTTGCGCGAGGTAATCCTGCAGTTCCTTGCTCGTGAACTCTGCCGCACCATCGGACTGCCAGATCTTCAATTTCTCCCCAGATTGTTGCTGCGCATGCGCCAGCCACAGACGGAATGCTTCGTAGGCTCTGCTACGCGCTTCCACGTTTACGACCCACACGTGGCACGTTCCGGCGTCAACGAAGGTGAGTTTGTAGAGTTCGTCGTTGATGCCGCAGTGTCCTACGTTGAGAAAGTCACTGTAAACCTTCTCAAGCTTGGCGTAGCGATTGGTTCCTGGCTCGAGTAGGGGGAAGGGCTGGTGACTTAGCGAAGCTTCGGGGCAGACAGTGCAGCTGCGCGGGTGAGTCCCTCCTCTCACTTTGGAGCCACCAGGGCGCAACAGCGCGCCAGGTGCAAAGACGCCGGCTTCGATGCAGTTCTTCAGGGTCACGCGCGAAGGGTGACCCAGGCGCTGATGCCAGATGGCGTCGTCGGCACGGAATCCAGATGTGCGCATGTAGCGCTCCAGTGCGGCTGCGGGGTCTTTGTCAGGTGCCGGTGCAGGTGTAGGCGCTGCTCCCTCATTCTCTTCTTCCTCGTTCGCCGTCGTTAGCATGAGGGCGAGAAATTCTCTGTCGCGGATGATGGAGTAGGGGATGTTGGTTCCGGGGATCATGCCAAGTACAAACGCCGGTTTGCGTGGTTCAGGGGCAGGTCCGTAGACAGTGCGTTGCGGGGTGAGTGGTTCACTTCCCGAGTCAATGGTGTCCCAGGGGTCACTACCTGAAGGGATGTCAGGCGGCGGTGGTCCTAACGCAGGGCGGCGCGGAGGTCGTCCGAGAGGAACAACAGGAGGTTCGGCCTCAGCATGCGAAGGTTCTTCTTCGTCTTCCCCCCTTTGATCCTCGCGGAAAGCTCCCTAGCCACTCGTCTCGCCGCCTTGTGCTGCGCCCCATCCGCCGGTTGCGATGCCCCAGCCGCTGGTTTCGCTCGTTCCCCATCCGCCGGCGCTCCCCCACCCCCTTCATTGGAGGCGCTTTCCTCGTCCGTGGGGAGGGCTCTCACGCAGTGGGACTGGTAGATTCCAGTCCTGGTTGTCGTCGCCGCTGTAGCCGTGATGCGTGCTGAATGGATTGTTGTTCGGAGATGCCTCGATTGGGTCGGGCGCCGGCTCAGGTGAGAGTGAGCGTGCGCGCGGGCGACGAGAGCCGCTCGTCATGGTCATGTTCCCCATGACGTTGCGGATGGGGGCAGCTTGTGGTGGCTGCTGCTGCTGCTGCTAAGTTGTTGGATTCAGGTTGCGCGGTGGGGGTTGAGACCCCTGGGCGGGACGCGTGTCGTTTCTTGCGTCTTGTCGACCGGACCAAGTGCTCGGATTGGTCTGGCGAGGGCGAGATCGATGCTTGCATCCATCCGCCAAGTGCCCGAAATTTCTACAGATCTTGCAGTAGAGGCGCCATGGTCGTCGCTCTTCCGTGTTGTCTGTGTAGGATGCGAGACGTTCTCTCTCTCGTCGTGGCGCTGGTCACTGCTGGTCCATATCCCGTTGTTCGACGAGGAGGGCGGCGCAAAGGGCGGCCTCCGAGATGACCCCTTGCTGTCAGAGAAGCGCCTTGCAGGGCCGCCACTCTGGGCCGAGCCCTTGGAGCACGATGTTCACGAAGATCTCTTCAGAGATCGAGCTCCCCAATTTCGCGATTTGATCGCGTAGACTCCGACAGCGATTCAGGTAACTATTGGCTTTCTCTCCTGGTGCCATCCTTGTTTCCAGTAACTGCTGGAGGAGGCGGCTCGACGACACTGAGTCCTTGGGTTGGTATACGCCATTGAGGTGGCGCCAGGCGTTGAGGGCTGGAGCAGGGGAGGTCTTGTATGAGCAAATGCTCAATTGCTCCGTCGGCGACATGTTCCGCAGAAGAACCCCATACGCCATCAGGGACTCGTTGTAGTACTTGGGTTTTGCGTCGTCATTTTCTTCCGTAGGCCCGAGTAGCTTCCGTCGAAATAATGATAAATCTGCGCGTTTTGCAGTAGCAGCTCCAGCTCAAAGCTCCAGGTATAGAAGTCTCTGCCGTCAAAGCACGCACTTGTCTTAGGGGTTGAGCTGTTCGCATCGAGAGAGAAGCCTTGTGGGCCGGAGTTCTGGCCATTTGAGGCCGGTTGAGTGGGTTGGGAAGAGGTTCCCGCATCGCCATTCCGCAATGTCTGGAGCCCTTGCTCCAGGCTTGTGAGTCGCTGAAGCAGTTGTGCGAGGACGGAGGAAGGAATCGTCGTCGTTTCCTCGTTTGTCGCAGCCGGGTTGGGCTGCGCTTCAGCCGTCAGATTCGTCTGACCTCCAGATCCTCCGGCCATCTTTACACGTGATCGTGTGCCGGACGCCACTTTCCGAATGTCGCAGATTTCGGAGATGGCGGTGCGAAGGATTCCTGAGTCGCTCTCATACCATGTCAAAATCAGGAAGTGATAGTAACCAGGATCACCTCAGGAAGGTTTGCACAATTCTAGTCCAGTGGTGGTGGGCCCTTGACCACAATAGCAGAGTGAATGTAAATGCTTGAGATAATAAAAGCGTGCAGTACAGGGAATATAAATATGAGTACAGGGGAATTCGAAACGACCTAACTAGCCATGTACTCTAAGGGGTACATTCCCTTATTGCAGCGAAATCCAATCGTGCGACTCCGAGTGGTTACGTAACTGTTCGGGCAGAATCATCGCCACTGCTGTTGCCTGATGCTGTCTGCCCGACAGTCCAGATGCTCCTCGTAACCGTCTGTCCCTTCGCCTTTCTTCTGCCTTTTCGTCTTCACTCTTGATAGTGCGTGCTTCGGCTTTGCTACTGTGAGGAGTGCGCAACAGTGTTTTACATTAACCACTATTCGTAGCACACCTTACCTAGCCTAGGAGGTGAGTCAACATACACATATGCATTGGCATGCCTATTCTTTAGGCTATTTTGGGTTGCACTATGGACGGTACGGGTTTGCTAGATACAACCCCTCTGTATGCCTTCATTCATCATTCATTCTGTACTTGACAGAGGCGTGCCTAGCAGGTGGCTAGTCTAGCAAGAGATTGTAGGAACATGCTCTAATGAATGTGCGGGTTTTCACAAAAACTGCCACACACATCTCAATGGGTTCTGAGATGGTCACAGCAGGCTGTGATGTGGCTTCTCATGTCTCTGTAACGAGCACACCTGCAGCAACAGCATTGCCTTGCTCGCTGTGTGAGCTTTGTTGGTGCGGCGTGACATTGGCTCAAATCCACGCCACCGTGGCAGCGATGGCATGCTGGTCGCAGTAGATCCTGTGAAATCCACATTGGGGAGGCACGGCAGCACGGTGAGCTGCATGGACGGCTGGCCTGACCTGCCTGCCCGGCATGGTGCACCACCCATGCACTGGTGGACGGAGTAGAGCAAGGAAGGAAAGAGGGGAACTGGGGAGAGCAGGTGAGGGCAGTAGAGAGCAGGCACAAAAACGAGAGAGGGTGGAAGAAGCAGAGAGCATGCGAGGGTGGGATGAGAGAGAGTCGTACTCCAGTGTTGCCCAATACCCCTTTAGCGCCCTCTCCTCCTCCGCCCTCTCCTTGCACTGCTCTCACCTCACCAACTTCTCACGCGCCCCCGCACTGCCCCCTCCTCCTCTGCCCTCTCCTCCTCCGCCCTCTACTTGCGCTGCTCTCACCTCACCAACTTCTCACACGCCCTCGCACTACCCCCTCCTCCTCTGCCCTCTCATCCTCCGCCCTCTCCTTGCGCTGCTCTCACCTCACCAACTTCTCACACGCCCCCGCACTGCCCCCTCCTCCTCCAACACCACCCAGCCCCCCTTCGCTCTCTGCCCCAAACCTCCCCTCCACATCCGCGTGCCCCTCCCCACCTACGTGCCCCTCCCCACCTGTCGGCCCATCAAAGTCTCGCAGCACCATCCGCACCAGCTCCTCATGGGGAGGCAAGAATCGATTGAGCAAGTGCACCCGAGTACAGCTGCTGACACGGGCGAGCAGAGAGGCAGGGACGCAGTTCAAGTAAGAGAAAACTCTAAGGCAGCGGCAATCACCAGGTAGTTTCACACACTAGGGGGGGAAATTCCCCTCACCAGGGAGGCAATTCCTCTCACCAGGGAGGCAATTTCTCTCACCAAGGAGGCAATTCCTCTCACCAGGGAGGCAATTCCTCTAAACCAGAGAGGGGGACAATTCGTCTCACCAGAGGGGTGTGGGCGGGCAGCCAGTGGAAGAGTGGCTGGGAGCGGAACTAGGTGATCTGGCGCTTGGAGTAGCGCCGTGACGCCTGCTAGAACTTCACGGTGAACGCCACCAGCGCCGCCTGCAGCGCCCGCTACTCCTCCACCTGCTGCTCTTCCACCTGCTGCTCTTGCTGCCCTCGCTCCTCATTGGTCCCCGCTTACTCCATGAGGCGCTGGCAGTGCAGCAGGAAGGACATGGCCTGGCGGTAGCCGATGACGCGTGTGGGCGACGAACAGTCGGGCTGCAGCCCTGCTCGCAGCAGCGCCAGGCTCTCCTCCAGCAGCCCACTTGCCCGCCACACAGGCGGAGAGAGCACGAGTGAGGGCGCGGGGCGATGGGGCATGCAGAGGAAGGCAAGAGATGGAGGCATGAGGACGAAGGGGTGCCGTGGGGTTGAGAAAGGCGCGTGGCATTGTGTGGTGTAGGCGAAGGCAATGGTGAGAGGAAGGTGCAGCGGTCTGGAGTCACCAAGTACAAGCATTTGTTTGGTAGAATCTCAACGGCCGTAAGCCCTTCCACCTAGAAGCATCGTGGCTCGCCTCACCTTTCACCGGCTCTTCGCAGCGTCGATATATTTGGCGGTACAGTGGGAGGCGAGGGGCGTCCAGGAAAAAGCAGTAGAAGGCGAATGCTGGCACCGAGGCCCCAGCAGCAGCAGCAGCGGCAGCAGCAGCAGGAGGGGAGGGGAGATGCATTTGGCCTGGTGGGATGGCACGGTGATCTCTTATCGCGGCCGACCTGCGGCCTGAGGGAGGGAGACAGGCAGAGGCTTACAGAGGCGCTGATGAAAAGGGCGTGATGTGGAAAGGACGGAAAATTGTCATCAAGGTGAAGAGGAGTGAAAAAGAGGTAAAGAGGGAAGGAGGGGATGGTTGTGCGGGCGATTTTGAGTGGCTCACTGTCCCTGGCCTGCTGGATGCGGGACACTCCTCCACCATTATCCTTCCACCACTCTTGCCCCTCTACACACACACAGTGCCTCCTACATGCACACATACCCTTAGAATCTCAAACGCTCTGGTCAGCCGGTACCAGTCATTCCGTGCCAACTGGCCTGCTGTGAGTGGGTCGCCCGTAGCAGCAAGAGCAGCGAGAGCAGCGTCCCAGTCGCCGTCCTCCGCATATCACGCGGCTGCCTGTTCGCCTCGCCCCCCCCTGCTCCCTCTCCTCTCCCCCTATCCCTGCTTCGGCCTGCCCCCCCCCCCCCCCCCCCCCCATCTCCTCCTTCATCCCTCCCATAACCATGTCAACCCCCCCACACCCACACCCACAACCACACCCACACCCACACGCGCACCATCGTTGCCCTCCTCGCTCCTCAACGCTTTCTCCTCACTGAGTCGCCTACTAACGCCTGTCCCTCCATCACTCCCTCTTCTGCATCCCCCTCACGTCCACCTGCTGCCTCGTCTACCCCACCACCCGCCACTATGCTCCGCTCATCCCCCCTGGCAGCCCTGGCCTGCCGGGCGCGCATGACAGTGGCGTGGATCTTGGCAGCCATGGCGCGCTCAAGCGTGGGGCACGAGGGGCACGAGGGGGGCGTGGCGAGGAGGCCGCACAGCAGCCATGCGAGGTAGAGTCCCGTGCCGCCCACCGCCATGGGCACGCCCCCCCCCTGCAGCACGCCCTCCACCGCTGCACGCGCCGCCTCGTAGAATCGTCTCCCGTGAACTCTGGGGGTGCCGGAGGGGGGGGGGGGGTGGGGGCAGGGTCGGCGATGAGAGGGCATGCCTTTGTTGACATGCTGCTGCTCATGGGCATGCCCCCCCTATTCCGCGTTGCTCCTGAGCGAGGGAGAGCTGGTGCAACCTGTCCTGGACAAGACGCGCGACCTCTACGCGAAGTTGGCGACCGCGGGAATCACCTACCCGGAGCAGACCAAGTGCCTGAAGATGCTCTCACTGCTGCCTGAATCATGGCTTCAATTCACGAGTGGATTGAGCCTGCCGCAGAACCAGAGCTCGTGGACACTCGAGTGGGTGCGGACAAAGATTCTGAAGAGAGGACTTCCGTCGCCGCCAACTGAGGGGTGGAGACGACGGCAGCAGCGGCTACGGGATGCAAGGAAGCCAACGTGGCAGAGGACGTGGCTTCGGTGGTGCTGGACGCGGTGCGAAGAAAGACGACAACTCCAACGACCAACAAGGAGGTACTCGTTGGGGTCGCGATGCGAAATCTGGACGTGGGAGCAAGTCGAGTGCTTGTGGCAAAATGAGAGGGAGTTGCTGGTATTGTGAGAAGGAGGGGCACCCCTGGTTTTTGTGCTATAAGAAACCCGATGGATGGACCCACCAGAATCGTCACCAGAATGGCGACGCGCGGAGGAAATAGAAAAGCGGCGCGAGCATGGTCGCCGATTCGTCTGACAACAACCCGAGAAGCAACGGCGGTGCGGAAAAGAAGAAGGAGCGCACCGCGGGCCAGTTCTTCCATATTGGAGTGCAGGGGGAGCAAGGAGACGCCTCTGCCAAGGTTGGAGCAGAGCTGCACCCCCTGGACTATTGGGTGTTGAACATAGGCGTTGCTTGGACGATGACGCCGCGCAAGGACGTGCTGGACGACATACGCGCTGTACCGATCAACGAGGTGTGTTCTGCCTCTGGACACGATCTAAAGGTGGCTGGTGCGGGACGAGCTGCGTTTAAGGGAGCGGATGGCAAGCCGGTGGTGCTGCACGACGTTCTCCTCGTTCCTGATCTCAAGGCCAACCTCATCTCCCTCCGAAAGCTTGGCAAGGCTAGGGTCAGCACTAGCACGGATGGGGCACGCACTTACAAGGGGCAGCTGGGCAATCAGGTGCTTTGGGATCTGCACGAGAGCAAGGACGCGTACAGATCCATGTGGCAGCTGTCGGCGTTGGCGTGGCAAGGTGGGGGGCAGGCTGGAGAGGGGTCTGCAACCCAGGGGGAGTGCAAGGCTTTTGGAGGGGTTGGTGTGAAAGTATCGGCCAGATCTGGGAAGACGGATTAGGCAACGGCACAACGACGCTTGGGGCATATGGCAATGCCCTGGTTGAAGCAGTTGGAAAAAGATGGAGCCGTTAAGGGTGTGAACCGTAACAGACAGCCACCCGATGATAACTGTGAAATCTGTTTGCTCTCAAAGTTGACCCATTTTGCCTTCCATAGTGTGGCTGGCAGGAGCAAGAAGCCTTTGGAGCTGGTTCACATGGACTTGGTGGGGCCGCTGCCAGTGCAAGGGCACAAGAGGGAGTGGTATTTCCTAGCCATTGTAAATGATTGGAGCAGACTCATGTGGGCGTATCCGCTGAAACAAAAGGACCACGCCGCCTCCACGATACGGGAAGATTGGCTGCCATTCGTGGAGAAGCAAGCGGGATGTGTGGTGAAGCGGATTAGGACAGACCGGGGTGGTGAGTTCCTTGGAGCTGAGATGACGGCCTGGCTCAAGAAGCAGGGCTTCCAGAGGGAGCTGACCACGGCTTACACCCCACAGTCCAACGGTGTAGCAGAACGGGCGAACCGGACTTTGGCCTTTACAACACGGTCGCCAGAAGGTGGCATTTATACAGACGATGGTATAGACGAAGGTACGGGACAGCTTTATGTTGTTTGGACACGCGTGGTGCTTTGACTTGGTTCCAACTTGAGTCTAAAATGCTACCACTTTCTAGCTTGCATCGCAATGTCCCATCCCCTTTGCATAGGAATTGGTTTGTCTTGCTGAACAATGTCTCCATGAACACACCAATCGAGCGACATGTTCCACCTCTGAAGAAAGGTAGAGGGCGAAAGCGAAATGGGAAGCGATCTATAGCATCGTACGTGGACAATGGTGCGGCGGCATTTGGCTTACCTGGTGCGGATGCGTCGCACATGGCTGATGCGGCTGTGCATGGTGGTCATGGTACAAACGAGTCGCACATTGTTGGTGTGACGGCACATGGTGGGCATTACATGAACGCGTCCCTCAGTTGTGCAAACACGCAGTTCGTCGGCGCCACCTCGCTTGCAATGGCAAGCCACGGCCTATCCTCCGCCTTCGCCTCTCCTGTACCTCCACTCACTGTTTCCTCACTCTCCTCTGCCTTTCTCCAGTCCCCCTCCCAGCTGCTCACCTCGCCAGCAATGGCAAGCCACGGCCTCCCCTCCTCCTTTGCCTCTCCTGCACCTACACTCGCTGCTTCCTCACTCTCCTCTGCCTTTCTCCAATATCCCTCCCAGTGGTATTTCCTATCCATTGTGGATGATTGGAGCAGACTCATGTGTGCGTATCCGCTGAAACAATAGGACCAATGCCGCCTTCACTATACGGGAAGATTGGCTGCCATTCGTGGAGAAGCAAGCGGAGTGTGTGGTGAAGCGGATTAGGACAGATCGGGGTGGTGAGTTCCTTAGAGCTGAGATGACGGCCTGGCTCAAGAAGCAGGGCATCCAGAGGGAGCTGACCACGGCTTATACCCCACAGTCTAACGGTGTTGCAGAATGGGCCAATCAGACAATTCTGGAGACAGCTACGGCGCTGCTCATAGAATCTGGGCTGGGCAACTCGATGTGGCCCCATGCTGTTCGGCACGTTACCGTCGCTAGGAACAGGGTGCTCACCAAGGTTGGGGATGACTAGTGGGTACCGTTGGAGAGGTGGCTTGGGAGGAAGCCGCCGGTAGACATGCCGAGGGTGTTCGGTTGCGTGGCAGTCGCCCACGTCCCCAAGAAGTATCGAAGTAAGTTGGGGGCGAGTGCAATCTGGTGTGTGCATTTGGGGCTAGCTGCTGAGAGCAAGGGATGGCTGCTGTGGGAACCATCCAAGGTTGTGCTGTTTGACAGCAGGGATGTGAAGTTTGTTGAGGGCATGATGTATGGGAGCTGGGAGAAACAGCCGGAGGCCAGGGTGTCCCAGCAGATGGAGTAGATCGCCGTGCAGCTATACTTGACTCCTAGTGTGTGGGAGGAGGGAGAGGAGGCAGCTGCAGAGGGTGGTGATGGAGAGAAGGTACAAGAGGCACCTGCTGGTGGAGAAAATGATGTGGATACTGGCGGTAGCACTAGTGGAGCTGCTCACCTTGCCTGCAATGGCAGGCCACGGCCTCCCCTCTGCCTCCGCCTCTCGTGCACCCGCACTCGCTGCTTCCTCACCCTCCTCTACCTTTCTCCAGTCTCCCTCCTAGCTACTCACCTTGCCAGCAATGGCAGGCCACGGCCTTCCCTCCGCCTCCGCCTCTCCTCCACCTCACTCGTTGCTTCCTCACCCTCCTCCGCCTTTCTCCAGTCTCCCTCCCAGCTGCTCATCTCGCCTGCAATGGCAAGCCATGGCCTCCCGTCCGCCCCCGCCTCTCCTGCACCTGCAGTCGCTGCTTCCTCGCCCTCCTCCACCTTTCTCTAGTCTCCCTCCTAGCTGCTTACCTCGCCAGCAATGGCAAGCCACGACCTCCCCTCCTCCTCCGCCTCTCCTGCACCCGCACTAGCTGCTTCCTCACCCTCCTCCGCCTTTCTCCCATCTCCCTCCCAACTGCTCACCTCGCCTGCTATGGCAAGCCACGCCCCCCCCCCACCCCGCCTCCGCCTCTCCTGCACCTGCACTCGGTTCTTCCTCACCCTCCTCTGCCTTTCTCCAGACTCCCTCCCAGCTGCTGACCTCACCAACAATGGCGAGCCACGGCATCCCCTCCTCTTCCTCTCCTGCACCTGCACTCGCTGCTTCCTCACCCTCCTCCCCCTTTCTCCAGACTCCCTCCCTGCTGCTCACCTCGCCTGCAATGGCAGGGCACGACCTCCCCTCCGCCTCTGCCTCTCCTGCACCTGCACTCGCGGCTTCCTCACCCTCCTCCGCCTTTCTCCTGTCTCCCTCCCAGCTGCTCACCTCGCCTGCAATGGCAAGCCACGGCCTCCCCTCTGCCATGGCTCCACCTGCTCTTGCCGGTCACAATTCTTATGTACCTCGTTCGCAGCCAGGCCTGCCACTCCCTTCAGCATCTCCCAGTTCTCATCGCCCCTCCCCCCCCACAACCGCCATAGTTGTTTGGTAGTTGGGAATTCGCCCTCGCAAGGAGAAGCCCAGGAAACCAGACCCTGCTCCCATGCAGGGGGCGTCTAAGTCAGATGATGAAAGCCAAGATGAAGAATCAGTAGATGAAGACCTTTCGGACAGTGATCCTGAGCCGCTGAGCCTCCTTGCTGCTGTAAGGCGGGCTGGAATCACTAAAGTAACGTGAGCTGCATATCAAGCATCTCAAGAAATGAACCGCGAGCAGGCTTGTCGCATCATGGAACTGGAGAACCAAGTACGTCTCACAAACGCGGCCCCAAAATCCCCTAGCACCGAAGGGGGCATTGGCGGTCAGGCACTTGTACCACAACTTGTATCAGCCCCCCTTGCTGTGCAAGCCCAACGTGTGTCTGCTCCTGTCAATCGCTCTGCACTTCATACTCAGCTCAACCAACCTTGTAGCAGCCCCACTCCAAAACTTCCCTATGCTCTATCTTCTGTAATGTGGCCACGCACCCAAGCTGCGTTCTGTCGCATGGTGGCACGGGCACACGTTCGGAGGCAGCAGATCGATTGCTCTGAAATTACGCAACGACAAAAAGATTGGGCTGTGAGGGTCATCACCGCTATAGATTCATTCCCGGATGTGGATGATGGTCTAAAGGCGAGTCATGAGAAACGCGCATGCGCTTTGGTCGATTACCTCATCCAAAATGGTTGTTCTCATGCCTTCAGTAACACGCTCCGAATGATATTCCACTTTCCCTCAGCCCCTGTGACACC